AGAGTAAAAGATGGATAAAGTAAATGTCTTCATTCTGAGCAGCCCTGAGAAGTAATCTAGTACAAGTTGAAAGCCCCCATCCTGCCCTATGTTTGGATATTGTTCCTGGTGGCATCACAGGTTGGGGGGTTTTTTTGGGGGGGGGGTTTGGTAACCTGTTTTCTGGTTTTACTATTATCATTCCACTGATTTATTATATTTTTCATTATTTTAATCTTTCTGCAAGGGGCTTTAAACCAGTTGGATTGAAGTGGCATTTTTACCCCAATCAGTCAGTCAGTCAGTCAGTCAGTCAGTCAATCAATCAACTATTCATGCTTTCTCTCCCCTCTCCCCCTCCCCAAAAGTTGTCATACCAATTTCAGGGTCCAATTTTTTTTTTGTTGGCCTTTTACTCTGGGATGGTGAAAAGTTTCATTCAGCCTTTCCTACATAGAGTCTTCTTCTAGATATAGTCAGCTTCAGCTTGGCTGTTTTAGCAGAAAACTGCGAGTTGAAATCCAGGACAACTGGGAGCTCCCAGAATGTGGTTGAGGGATTTTCTAATTAATATTTCTTTTGTGGTTATAGCAACATGCTGTCTTAGGTTATCTTTAGGGCAAGAATTTTTTAAGAGTTTGAGATTTCAAAAACTGCCCACTTCAAGCCTCTGGATCAGTACTTTATTGTGCAATCATACAGGAGTCATCCACTATATGATTTCATTATATGTTGTAAACCACTTGGAGTTGCTTTTGAGTCCAGCAGTATAGAAATATAATGAATATGATGACACAACTTGGGAAAGAAGAAAGGTTGCTATACGCAGGTCATATTTTGTTTTTTGTTTTTTCAGGTGAAAATATAAATAAAATATAAAACTAGTATTGAAATTGTAATGAGAACAAAACTAATTGTCTAGGATATTTTGTCAGAAGAATAATTATATAGTGGACATATATAGTTGTTATTCTTTCCTTTAATCAATATCTTTGTAACATTGATTGGCTCCATTTAATCAAAAGTATAACAAAACAAGGATGAAATAAAATAGTGAGCAGTTAAGAAAAATTCAAGGTGCTAGGCCTTAATTTCATTATATTCCAAACAATTCTGTGCTGTTGTTTTTCTGACTTTTTATTAGTTATGTTTTATTTAAAAGAGAAATTATGCAACCATGGAAAATGGGCATTTGGAGAATAAGTACTAATGCATCATCATCAGATTGATGCATGTTGTTTGCATATTGTATTCACTTTTAGAAGTGATTGGCTTGGAGTCAGCAATTAATGGATGTGGGACTCAGCTCTTCTACAGATGGTTTTCTGAAAAATATTTTCAGTTGTAAACATATCTCTTCTTCCTTCCTTTATCAAGTCTTTTGAGAATGAATGGACATTTTTTGCTTAACAATGTATGGTTTACATTCTGAAGACTGTTTTGAATGAACCTCATAAACAGCTATCTGTTTAATTGCAAATATATTTTTATGTGGGTTGTGAAACAAATATTTTTTTCCCAATAATACAGTTACACATTTAATTATCAGTTGTTATCATTTCGTTGCTAAGCTCAAAATAGTTTTTTATATTGCATGCATATGACAGTATTTTATATTTTTAAAATTACACATTATGTATAACAAACTAAATGAAATCTAATGTGTGCATACAAGTATTCATGCAAACTAAATATGTAGCATTTTCTTAGTATTTTTCTGCTTATCTTCATTGCCGCTTCCTTTTGATGTGGAACATGGCATTTTTCAAATTTGAATATTGAAGTGCTTTCATTTTTTGAAAAAGTAATAGAATCAATAAAAATGAAAGGTGTGCTATATATTAACTTTCCCAATTTTAATATTTTTCAGGTGTGTTGGACTACTAATCCTATATTTTATAGTGAACATAATTTGGGGGCTGGTCTAAATGAATTTTCCTTTATAGGTTTATAATAATAATAAAATCACTATATAAAATGTTCATTATGCATTTATTTTTGAAACTAGAAAGGTACAATGATTTTAATAAATATCAACATTTATTCATCCTATTTTAATTTTTAAATATGTGTTAATAAACAATAATTGTAAAGCTTGATTAAAAAACAAAACTGCACAGAGTTCTACCTATATGAAATAAAATAGTGTCTTTGAATACATAATTGTTTCTGGAAAACTGGGTAGGAAAATAGATAGTATGCTACACAGAGAGAGGGAGGGAGAGAGAGAGAGAGAGAGAGAGAGAGAGAGAGAGAGAGAGAGAGAGAGAGAGAGGGACTGGAGGCGTATAAACGTCTGGCATCCTCTGTAACTAAGGAGTGATGATGCCATTTCTCTCCCAAAGTCACCTCTGTTCAATGTTCACAGAGTTAGTCTGTGAACTCAATGGCTTTATCCATTTAGTCTGATTGTAATGAATCTGCAATGCCACTTTTAGACAGTATTATTCATATTCATGTTCAGATGCCCTGGCCAATATAGGTCAATATTAAAGCAACTGGTATATTGTTTCCTATAGATGCTTTGAACCATGGCAGGTAAATGCATCCAGATCCGTAAAGAATTGTAATGTGCATAAAATACCAATGCCCAATACTTACTAACAGTCACCTTTAGAAATGCCTATCATTTATTCATAACTATATTTATGAGCTAGAAAGGGGAAATGTCAACTCTTCACAATTTTGGAGCAAAGCATTTTACCTAGATCTCTCCAGTTTAAATTACTGTATGTCCTGCTTTGGAGATGAAAATAGATTTGTATGTCTTGATCAATAAATGTGGCTAAAATAATCATATATATTTTTTTCCAGTGGTGTTTGATTGTATGATCATGATGTTTCTTATCACAGCTTTCTGTCTTGGGTTTATCAGGCACATTATGAGTCTGGTCTTTCTAAGTAATATGGGGTGATTCTCTTCCACTCCACAGGCTGATAATCCTCAGAGGACATGTTTACGGGCAGACATGTAGCAATGCAAACCACTGAAATAAACCATTTGTATAATGAATTTCATTATCAACAGTTTGCGAATTACAGACAACACTACCTTTATTTCCCACTAATTCTTAGCTTTGGAAGCTATGGAACTAGTAAATTGACACATATATTCAGTTCTTGGATGAGGGAGAGCAAACTTAATGCTGGGAAATTGATGCTTTGGATTGGAAATAATATTATTTGAGTAATGAAATGCCGTTGATGTTGAATGGAGTTACACAGTTCCTAAAAACACAATGTGCATCTTCGGGATGCTTCTGGATTCAATGCTCTTGTGTAGGTTGTAGGTGGTCAGGTGTGCTTTTGGCAAATTCCATCTTATATACCAATTAGAGAACATTAACTTCTTTTTGGAGCACCTGGTAACCAAAACTATACATTAGTAGAGAATTGTGCTAAACAAATAGCGAGCCCCTTTTACCCAATGCCTAAACAATAAAGATTATGTTTACAGAATTAAGAAAATAGATCTGGTTTCCTCTTTCATCTCTTTTTTCTATTTAGGCCAGATCAGTAATTGCTTGCCAAAACAAAGACTTTTTTTTTTCATTTTCCCAGCCTTTAAAAACAATAACTGTAACTGTTGAGCAGCACAGTATGTTGTTAACCATTAGCGGCAGCTTCTCCTTTTTTTCTTCTTCCCTATAATTTGAAATAAACTAGTAGGAAGCCTTCAAGATGGAATGTTTGAAATCACTAATGGAAGGAAATATAAATAGGTATCAAAAGACATGAGAAAGTCTAATAAAGCACAGCATGGAGGACATGTCTGCATGTACTAAAGAAATTAAGCTAATTTAAACCTTGCAGACACTGCTATTTATGCTTTCCGATAGACTCATCAGTTTCTAGGGACTTTAAAGGGCAGAATTTATTTATATATTTTTATTTGGGGAAAGAAAGCTGCTTCTAGATTAGCGATGGACAAGCATCTATTCTTCATTGTCTATTTTTGCATCAGGTTCTTCAAATTGAGGATATTTTTTGCTGAATATTATTAGGCTATCCTTTCACTAATGCATAGATTGAATTCCATAAATATGAAGAGTTCCACAGGGGCAAGAGAACTGGTCCTTCTCCAAAATGTTGCATATCTTCCCTGGGCCCTATCCCCCAATGTCTACATAGCAGAAATCTACACATACATAAGAGTTGGCACTCTTTCTGCACTCTTTCTGCAGCAATTCTGCAGTAAATCAGGACTGGCATTTTAGGTGTGCAACATTTAAAGAAGTCCTCACTTAACAAGGGTAACTGGGACTTGAATTGCCATTGCTAAGAGATGCAGTTAAATAATGATAAAATGAGATATCCTGTGAACACGTTGCCAAGCAGCTCTGGCCTGCTTGCAATCCCACACCTCTGTTGCCATTGTTAAGCAAAAATCATGAGTCATTGAGGACCTGACATGACTGCAACTTTCTGCTGGCTTCCCACAAGCAATGTCAGTGGGGCTGGAAGTTGTAAGTCCTGGGCAACTTGCAAGCAAGCCAGAGGACTTGGGCTGCTACAGAGTGAGGCAGAGGGGTGATGTGGGGAGTGGGTTCGGGCTAGGGAGAGGTTTCTGTAGTGCCACATGAGTGGGTGTGGGTTGAGGAGGGAATGTTGTGGTGCAGTTTCAGTTTTTAAAACACTCATATAGAATGATTTTGAATGATTTAATGAGTGCATGCAGTTTTTACGTGATTATTGCAATAGAACTGTTTTTTGTGAGTGACCATTACCTACAAGTCCTCTGGCCTGCTTGCAAGTTGCTCAGGATCTACAACTTCCAGCCCCACAGATATTGCTTGTTGGAAGCTAGCAGAAAGTTGCAGTCATGTCAGGTCCTCAATGAGCCTTGATTTTTTCTCGTTACTGTTATTTCTCAGTTTTGTATTTTGTTACCTGCTCACATCACTTTACAATTATTTGTCAACATTGCATAAGAACATAAGGTGCATTCCTCATTGCTACCAAAAGGCATTGTAACAAAAAAAAAATTAAATTTCACTAAACTTTTTTTTCTTTTCTTTCAGTGTCTGAACTACAGGAAGAAGGAATAAATGCCATAAATTTACCACTCAGTCCAATTTCTTTTGAATTAGATCCAGAAGATACTATGTTAGGTAATTTGAAATACTTTTTTTTCTTTAAACTGGTCACAAGTATGCCTTTTTTATAATGAAGAATCTTCCTTCTTTATTTCTCTCCATTTTTTTTCAAAGAGGAAAATGAAGTCCGAACAATGATTGATCCCAATTCAAGAAGTGACCCAAAACTACAGGAGCTAATGAAGGTAATACTTTGAAAGTAGTTTTTGGAAACAAAATGAACCTGGAATTTTACTTGGATTCTCGAGTAATCTATAAAATTCAGGCAAAATAAAGTAAGCTGTGTTTTTTGAATGTTATTTTTTTGTGTGTGTGCATAAGATCACTGGATTACATCCAGCCTTCTCCTACCACCATTTACTCAACATTTTACTCATTGTAAAACATATTTCCTGTGTTTAAGACAAATGGCTTGTGAATCACTGGATTCTTTAGCAGAAAATAGTTTGCAGATTATAGCTTTGATACTGATTCCCCCCCCCCCAATTTTTTTTTCTAAATAGGTTAGGTATTTATTTAAAATATTTTAAATCTTGCTGTTTAATTCTGTTAGGCTTTCCAAGATATAAACAAAGAAATTATCTGAAATACAACAATAGATAATAGCCAAACAAAAATGGAATAATTCATATTTACAGCAGAACTAAAAATATATCCAGTGACTGAAAATCAACAATCTGCATTTTTAAATCTTAATCATAGGCACCAAAGACTTGTGAAATTAATATTCTTTAGCATGTGGGAAGAAAAGAGCATATTGGAGTTCCATTTCCTCAGAGATGAGGATTTTCCCCCAGGTTTGAATGTCAACTTATTTAAAACCAGGCATATTTGAAGTTTTTAAGATAAGCAGTGGGTAATTTTTAAATTTAATGGGAATGCCACAGTGTAAACTGAAGTTGAAAGTAATATTGCATCAATGGAAGATCATTTCATTTTAATTCACTAAAAGAAGGTGGAGAAACAATTTTCACTAATTTCTTCTACTCTCTGAACCCCTTTCCATATGTTCCTGGAAACCCTCAAGTTTGTAGAACAGATTTTTGGAGGATTACAAAAGATAGCTGGAATCCCCCTGAATTATTTTTCTCTCCAATTATCCAGTATGGAATGCCCATTTTGTGAGCTGAAATGAGATTTAGTTAATTTAGTTGACCAAAGAGCATTTTCACTATTATTTTTAAACTCTTAATTCATGTGATGAGTAGCAGGTTTTTCTTGTTGAGTTGAAAGCCTGATAGGAATTTAATAAAATCAGTGGACCACATACATTTCATCCGAATCCAATATTAGTGACTTTTGAAGATTAAAAACAGAAAGTTCTGATAAACTTCCAGTGCTGCTGAAATTAGAGATGATAGTTCTAATGGAATGGAATGGAATGGAATGGAATGGAATGGAATAGAATAGAATAGAATAGAATAGAATAGAATAGAATAGAATAGAATAGAATAGAATAGAATAGAAGGTGGAAGGGACCTTGGAAGTCTTCTAATCCAGCCTCCCCGCTTAAGCAGGAGAACCTACACCATCTCATAATAATTCTATGCAATTAATATTTTTCTAACAATATGCTTAAGAATGAAGTCAAAGTTCTCATTACTGAGATTGAGATAATTTCGAAGACACTTACTTCCCTGTCCACTTTGCATTAAGTGGAAGAGAGTTCTTTCTGCTATTCAGAACTTACATATAGATTTTTAATAGTGAAAAGTGTATCTCCTTGAAAATTTAGAGTTTGAGTCCAGCGTTTTCTTCTATGAACAAAAAAGGCTAAAAATAGAATTTACTGTAAGTGATTTATTTGCTGACAGCAAATATTAGAATGTGAAGAACATTCTTTAAATTTTCATTGTTTATTTCATGTATATTAAGTATATTAATCTTCAGCACTGATTGGAGAACTGAAAAAAAATCGATATTGTTTATCCCTTCTGAATCATTGCCCAAAAAACCTTCATAATTGTGTTCATGTGGTTACTAGGAGTTGAACGTGACTTGAGGATGTCTTTACTTTTTACCTCATGCTTAAATACCATTGAATTTAACTACTGGATTGCAGTAATTATATTTTAACTTCCATTGAATTTCACTATTGAATTGCAGTAATTTATATTTTAAGTCTTATCCTGTAACTTCGCATCCAGCAATTATCGTTAAGTAACTGTAATGTCTATTGATAATTGATTAGAAAAATGATTCTATAGAATAACTTCTATATTTGTGAAGCTGAAAAATGAGTAGGTTGTTTTTGAAACAATGGTGTAGCTTAACACATTTGATACAATATAACATTTGTGATGATGCCTTGGGTAATATTGATAAATCTTGGTCTCTTAATAAAGGTGTTAATAGACTGGATTAATGATGTGTTAGTAGGAGAAAGAATAATTGTAAAAGATCTGGCTGAAGACATGTATGATGGACAAGTACTGCAAAAACTCTTTGGTAAGAAGTAATTTTATTTTTATGCAGAGTGTGATGATATTTTGCCTTTATATAGAATGGCTTTTTAAAAACCCAAGAAATAAGAGAAGATAGGCTCCTTCTGTTTCCTAAGAATAGTTTATTCCTACTTTTAGTTTATTCCTACTTTTCATAGATTTTAGCCATTGAATGATCATGTCTAAACAGCAAAAAACCATTTCCTTTATGTTTGTGTTATATTTTTGATTATTTTTACTCAGCATTTTAAATTAGACATCTCTCTGAAGTTTGATGCTTCAAAGCTTCAATTCTGAAATTTGTCTTTCTGTAGTGCTACCATATTTAACGATGAGATCCAGATTTTTCAAAAAAGCCATTTTGAAAAAAAAAACTATACCATAAAGTTTTGAAAGTTTACTATAATTAACATTAAAAAAATAGATTGTTTTACACATGACCCTCATTAGTCAATATTGTCAGATATAATATTTAGAAGAAATAAATGTAAAATGTATTGAAATCACTGTGCTTCCTTAGGAAGGAAGATTTGCTTGGTGAATTGTCAGTGGTTACTTTTGACATTTTAAATTAGGTTCTCTATAGAAAATCCATTTTGGAATAGGTGGAACAGAATGTCTTCACGTTGAACTTGGTACATAGAGTTGAGGCAAAGACTTGTTTTTTTCTTCCATTATCACTTCAGAAAAGCTTGAGAGTGAGAAACTCAATGTGGCTGAAGTCACACAGTCTGAAATAGCTCAGAAACAGAAGCTACAGACAGTCCTTGAAAAGATCAATGAAACCCTTAAGCTTCCTCCAAGGAGCATCAAATGGAATGTGGACTGTGAGTTATTTATTTACAGTAGAATTTGTGTATACAGTTTACATTAAAATTGTGTTAAATTTATTAAATAAGAAAAAAGGCAGAAATGTTTTGTAACCAGAAGCCAATTTAGAAGGGTATGTGCGTGAAGGCATGAATCTGTGTATGTTTATGAATGTTTTAGATACATTTAAAAGCGCATACATACACAGACATACTGAGAGAGCGAAAGAAAAAAGCTTGTAATTCTTGGCAAATAATTGGCAATTAAAAGGTTGATAAGTTTAAATTCCTATTGTACATGCAGTGTAGCACTTCATGAATGAAGACAGAGTGTTGCTTTTATCAAGGAATAATTTCTTCAAAACTGGAGAGGTCTTTTTTCTTGTTTCTGATAAAACTTGTTATGGGGCTTTGTAGAACAATAAGTGTGAAAAGCACTTATGTACAAAAAAATCCAAAGGAGCCGATTCACAGGAAAATAAAAAAGTCTAATCTATGTAATGTTGTTATTTTTCTGTATTGTCTCTTGCCCTGAGATTTGAGAGAATTTTCTCACAGATTTTAGAGCTAATCCTATAATACATTTTCCTCTTTAAATTCTGCAAAGAATTTACAACCATGTCCAAGAGATGCTTCTGTTTATTCCTTTCAATTCCTAGTTAGCAGAGTTATGTTGGAAAAAAAAGACTTTCCAAGAAGTATTCCTGGCTAATAGTATATCTAACAATAGAATTCTTTCATCCAAATCAAATACAGGGTAATCTTCAATTTAGACTAATCAGTTAATACCATTTGAAGTTATGATGGATTTCCCCCCCCCCCCCAAAAAAAGATACTTAAGACCTAGATTTGAAGTTCCAGTGGCAGCCATTGCCTCCCTCCCACCCCACGCACAGCCATTTGATTGTGTTTTGGGCACTTGGCAAAACTGACCCACATTTATGGCCATTTGTAGCATCCCATATGACTTTTTTTGCCAGAAACCAGTATTTTGTTCTGGTGGCCAGTTTAGCAACAGCCACATTTGCTTAATGATCACAATGTTCATTTAACAACTGCTGCAAAAAAATATCATGTGGATGCCTCAACTTACAACCATCATGACATACAACAAAGATTCGGGTTCATTATGGTTGTAAGTCAAGGACTTCCTGTATATGAGACAATACTCCATGCTTTATCCTAAACATTGGGTTGGATCATAGTGCATAAAGACTGAAAACACTTCTATATACATTAGGCTGTTTTGCTTAAACATGTTTGTCCTATAGATAGCCTAAAAATGTATTTCATAATAGTTTGCAAACTATTTTTATACAAATCTAGACAAACAATACAGTTGAATAATTCATTAGTACTATTACAACGTTGTTCAATAATATGTGGGTCATCTTAAATTGAAGCATGCTTAACATTTAACATGGTATTCATGGATACCACAAGTAAAGGGAATAATAATAATAATGCTAGAATAGTTATGAATTATTTCTTTTGATGGTTGCAGATTAGAAATTTTCTATAATAAGTCTTTTGATACCTTGCAGCCTTGTTAGTGTTGAGTACATATACAAAGCTTGCTGTGAAAGACCTCTTAACAAGTTTGTGAAGAATGTTTGAGTCATTCTGTTTAGTAAGTTATTGCTCAAGGATATGGGCTAGATAGGGGCGTTGTCTTACCTGAACGCCTTTTCTCAGCATGATGATGGAGAATCCACGGATGGGTTGTCTTAATCTATCTGCTCCAATTGGACTAAGTCTGAAATTGGTAACGCCCCCTCTGTGCCAAGTGCACCCCAGTTTTAGACTAAGGCGATACCCAGACTTTAGTCCGACGCGTCTGAACAAATGGGAACCAGGCCAACTGACCTAATGGGAGGGAGTGGATTCTCCATCATCATGCTGAGAAAAGGCGTTCAGGTAAGACAACGCCCCTTTCTCCAGCATGATTGGATGGAGAACCCACGGATGGGACATACCAAAGCCCTGTGTCCCTAGGGTGGGAAATTAGATTGGGCCTGGGTCCCATCCAATGTTAATGCGTGTTCTAGTACCTTGCGGCCGAATGAAGCCGTAGAGGATGCGTATACATCCATCTTGTAGTGACGGACAAAGGAGGAGGGCGATGCCCATGTTGCTGCCCTACAAACTTCCTCTATGGATGCCTGGGTAGACCAGGCTGCTGTAGTGGCTGCGCCCCTGGTGGAATGGGCCGTGATATGGCTGGGAGCTTGAAGTGACTGAGTCTGGTATGCCAGAGAAATACAAGCTCTAATCCACCTGCCTATAGTGGGCGAGGAAACCTTTTGTCCTAACGACGATGGGTGAAATGACACAAACAGAGCCTCAGTCTTGCGGAAAGATGAGGTTCTCTGTATATAACAATATAAGGCCCTGCGAACATCCAATCTGTTCCACTGAGCCTCTGTGTTATTAGATGGGTTCGGACAGAAGTCCGGCAAAACTATGTCCTGGGACCTATGATATAAGGAGTTAACCTTGGGCACAAAGGAGGGATCTAACCTGAGAGTAACCCTGTCCTTATGGAAAATACACAGGTCCTTTCTTACTGATAGGGCAGCCAGCTCAGAGATCCTTCTGGCTGAAGTTATGGCAACCAGAAATGCCACCTTCATTGATAAATGTTTGAGCAAACAATTGTCAATAGGCTCAAAGGGTGGTGAGACGAGAGCCTGTAGAACCTGATGAAGGTCCCAGGAGGGATATCTATGTACCGTTGGTGGTCTGGCATTGTTAGCTCCCTTTAGGAAGGAGCGTATCATAGGGTGTTGTGTTAAGGGCTCCTTGCCATAGGAAATAACCGTGGCAAGTGCTGCTACCTGCCTACGGATGGTACTTGTGGAAAGACCTTTGTCCAGACCATCCATCAGGAACTCCAGGATAACTGGCACTGCAGCCTGTAAGGGTTCAATATTGTGTGCTAAACACCAATTACAGAAGCTCTTCCACGTGGCATCGTATATTCTATTCGTCGAGGGTCGCCTGGATTGCTGGATCATGGCTATGACCCTTGACGAATATGAGTCTAGGCCTAAGGCCTGCCTCTCAAGTGCCAGACGGTTAACTGGAGCCATTGAGGGTCTGGATGATGCAACTCCCCCTGAATGAGGGAGATCCGATTGGCTGGAATCCTCCATGGAGCCGATGCGGAGAGCTCCATCAGGTCGGCGAACCAAGGTCGTCTCGGCCAATGTGGGGCGACCAGGAGAACCTCTGCTTGTTCGCGAAGGATCTTCCTGATCGTGGCCGGTAGGAGAGGTAGTGGAGGAAAGGCATAGAGCAGTTCCCTGGGCCAGGAACTGCGGAGTGCATCTGTTCCTTCCGCTGATGGGGACGGGAACCTGGAAAGGAATCTGGGAAGCTGTGAGTTGGCTGGGGAGGCAAACAGATCTAGGGATGGGGAACCAAACCTGTCCACGATCTCCCTGAAGATCTCCGGATTCAGCTGCCATTCGGAATGGTCCACGGTGGCTCTGCTCAGTGAGTCCGCCTGTTGGTTGGCCACTCCGGATATGTGCTCCGCCCTGATGGAGGCAAGATTCAGTTCCGCCCAAGACCCCAGCAATCTGGCCTCTCGCATGAGAGGCTTGGACCTCGTTCCCCCCTGCCTGTTGATATGGGCCTTGGCTGTGATGTTGTCGGTTAAGACCAGGACGTGCTGGCCTTGTACTAAGCTGCTGAATCTCTTTAGGGCCATGTGTATGGCTCTTAGTTCCAGCCAGTTTATGTTGTTCTTTAGATCCTGCCTGGACCACTGACCCTGGGCCCAGTGTGTGTGGAGGTGTGCCCCCCACCCAAACAGGCTTGCGTCTGTGGTGACGGTGATCCTGTCCGGTTCTTTGAATTCTGCTCCCCGTGACAGTGCTGGAGAGTCCCACCAACGAAGGGAGTTCAACACCGCCTGTGGAACTCGGACCTTCTGGTGGGATGTGCTGGTATGAAGTCTCTGAAATGGAAGGAGAAGCCACTGTAATTCCCTGGCATGGAGACGTGCCCATGGCACAATTTGCACGCAGGACACCATCTTCCCTAGTAGCTGTGAAAGGGATGCCAATGTGACTACTCTGTCCCTTCGGATCCGACGTACAAGAGTCTGGATAGAGTTCCGTCGGTCCTGAGATAGGTATACCGTGCAGTTGTCTGTGTCTATAACTGCCCCCAAATGGAGGAGCCGAGTTGTTGGTATAGTATGACTTTTCTGGAAGTTCACAGAAAAACCGTGCTCCTGTAAAACCTTAATGGCTAGGGCGAGGTCTGCTTGGGCACTTTGCCATGATGATGACTGAATTAGAATGTCATCTAAATAACATTGAATCCTGATGGGAATTAGTCTAAGGTGGGCTGCGATCACTGCCAGTACCTTTGTAAATACTCTCGGTGCAGATGAGAGGCCAAATGGAAGGGCTCTGTACTGGTAATGGCGTCGGGCATAACTAAATCTGAGGAATTTGCGGTGTCCAGGAAAAATGGGAATGTGCAAATATGCCTCAGTCAGGTCTATGGAGGTAAGAAAGTCACCTTGCCTGACGCTAGCCAGGATTGATTGAAGTGATTGCATCTTAAATTTCTTATACCTCAGGTAGAGGTTTAGACCTTTTAAGTTCAAGATCGCCCTCCAGCCCCCTGAAGCTTTGGAAATGACGAAGAGGTCTGAGTAAAACCCTCGCCCTTCTTGTTCCTTTGGAACTGGTTCAATTGCGTGTATTTGCAATAAATGAGCTATTTCTTCTGACATAAGTTCAGCTCTGGTCCTGTTCGTTGAAATAGGGGAAGAGCGGAACCTATCGGGTGGATGGGAATAAAACTCTAATCGTAGACCTTGGGAGACGGTGTCTAACACCCATGCATCCGTAGTAGTGGCCGCCCAAATGTTGGAATAGAGGGCCAGCCGGCCTCCTATGGGAGGTGAGGCTGCAGACTCACTTGCCTCGCTTGAAGGAGCGGCTCCCTGTGCCCCGAAAGGACCGTTTAGTCTGGAACTGTGGTCTGCCTCTGTATGCTGAACGATCTTGTTGTCGTTCCTGCCTCTGAAAGGAGGGGCGAGAGGCCTGGGCCCAATCCCAGGATGGCGCTGGCCGAAAGGGCTGCCTTCTGTAGTTACTCTGCGACAAGTTCCCCCAGCGCCTATGTCCCCTCCTTGATGTATTGACCAGGATCTTGCGCTTATCCTTACCTTCGGTTAGGTATGGCTCTAGCGCCTTACCAAAGAGTTGTCCACCTGTGTAAGGCTTGGAGGCCAGACGCCACTTGGCCTTGGTGTCTGCTCGCCAGTTCCTGAGCCAGAGGAGTCTTCGTGCTGAAATGTCTGCCGCGATGGTCCGGGCAGTGTATCTGGCCGTGTGTAAGGAGGCATCGGCCAGATACTGGGATGTGGCCACCAACTTACCCAGATTCTGGTGGACTCTGAGCTGGTCTGGAGGGATCATGTCCTGGAGCTCCCGTAGCCACAGGACCGAAGCCCTGGCAAAGAAGGCCATGGAGGTTGCCGCCCTCGTTGCCCAGGCTGACGCTTGGTGGGCTCTGCGTAGGGCAGACTCGATCTTCTTGTCCTCTGCTCTTAGTGCCTCATTTATGTCCCCAGGAATATTGGACTTGGGAAACAACGAGTTCAAGGGTTCATCAATTTCGGGTATCTCCAAAAGGGAGGTCAGGGAAGGAGCGACGTTGAACAATTGTCTTTCTACAGCCCCAGGGCTCAAGGGGGACCCTAGGTTCTCCCATTGCTTCTGGACCATCTTTAGGAAAAGGGGAGGGCAGGGAATATGATTCTGTGAGACAGAGGGTTCAGTGTAAATGGCATGGGGACCTTGGGATGTTGGTGGGGTCTCCTGTTGTTGAGTGAGGTTAGCAGTAGTACAGGCTTTGAGTAAGAGAGAATTAAAAAAGGAATGGTCAAAGAGACCAACAGGAGGGGTGGGTTCGGATGGGGCGATGCCCTCGTCCTCAGACAAGATCAGGTCAGGTTGTTCAGCTCCCGTAGACTCCAGGTCTGATGTGGGGCCATCCGTCCAGTCCGGAGATTGTGAGTGATGTGCGGTCTGGGAGGGTGGCTGTGGAGTGTTGGAGGCCATAAATTGAGCCACAGCCTGGGCTATCATGGACTGGAGCAAGTTTGGGTTCAGGGCCTGGTTCTCAGGGAGGCGAAGCCCTGCTGCAGTGGGTGTAAATGTGGCCTGGGGCCCTGAGGTGTCCTGACCAGTCATACCCCTCCCTGAGGTCACCGCTATGCTTGAGTCTGACTCGGCAATTCCTCGGGGGGGAGACCAAGCCCCTGGGGCCGAGGCACTATGTGAAGAAAGGGGCTCAAATATAGACCTCCCCCTTGTGCCTGCCAAATCTGGGGATACCGTTCTCGGTCCTTGGCCCCCTTCCTCTCTCTGTGGCTCCCTGCTTAGTCGGGCTCGCTTGGTGGTGCTCTTTCCACTTGCCTCTGATTGGCGACTTCTCTTGACCGACTCGCTGCCTCTCTCCGCCATGACGGTTGCTCTGGTCTCAACCTTGGCAAAACGCCCCCTCAGCGTTGTAGTTCACCAAGGGAGTCTACAGAGATAATTCAGCCCTAGAGGGGAAGGGCGGGGAACTGATGTGGGCACCCCGATCACTCAGGATCGATCAGGCCCTCCCCGGTCGGAGCTGCTCTCTGAAGCGTTGGCCACCGATGATCGAATGCTGCCTTCAGAAGAAGATTCCAGGCAGCCTGGACTCCGGCCACAGCCCAAAAGGCCTCCAGTGGCTTTAGCCACGCCCAAAATGGCTGACAATGAATTTAGCAACAATTAAAATGGCCGCCGGGGCCTCAGCCCCACTCAAATTGTGCGCTGAGGCCTCAGCCACAAACAAAATGGCCGCCGAGGCTTCAGCCTCACTCAAAATGGCCGCCGAGGGCTTCAGCCACAAACAAAATGGCCACCGAGGCTTCAGCCTCACTCAAAATGGCCGCCGAGGGCTTCAGCCACAAACAAAATGGCCGCCGAGGCTGCAGCCTCACTCAAAATGGCCGCCGAGGGCTTCAGCCACAAACAAAATGGCCGCCGAGGCTTCAGCCTCACTCAAAATGGCCGCCGAGGGCTTCAGCCACAAACAAAATGGCCGCTGAGGCTTCAGCCCCACTCAAAATGGCCACCCGTGACTTTCGCCACTCCCAAAATGGCCGCCGGAGGTAATTCAAAATGGCGGCCGCCAATTTGGCGCCTTAAAAAGGCCCAGAAAACAAACGGCCGTTGGAACGAGGCCTTGAGGCCCGGGTTGTGAGCTGCGACGAGCCCTCGTTCGGGTGAATCGCCTGGGCTCCTAAGCAGCTGGTGGCATGCAATTAGGTCGGCTGAGCTCCGAAATTTGGGTCGCGCCCAATTCCTCACCTGTTGCTGCCGGCTGTGAACGAGGGACCTGGGAAGGCTCCCTGCTGGCCTGGCGAGGCTCGACGATCGTCGCGGAGCCCTCAGCGCGATCGGCAATGCCTCCGACGATCAGCTGGCAGTCGGAGGATCGCAAGGCAGCTCCGGAAAAAAACGAGTGATTTTGAAGGTTAGAATTGTTGTCCCTAACTGATTGAAACAAACAAGGGGAAACTTCCCCCCCCAGGGGGAGGGGGTGCAGGTCTGTCAGCCTAAATAGGCTTCAGACTGGTCTAATTGATCCTTTTTCCTAGCTAATAATCGATTCAATTCAACAATAAAAAACAATTAATACTAATAGCCTGAGCTAGACAATTAAATGGAATCTAACAGTCTTCTGCTCCAGGAGCGAAGACAAAACGCGTCTTAGAGCAAATAGGACTAAGTCTAAAACTGGGGTGCACTTGGCACAGAGGGGGCGTTACCAATTTCAGACTTAGTCCAATTGGAGCAGATAGATTAAGACAACCCATCCGTGGGTTCTCCATCCAATCATGCTGGAGAACAGTGGTTCTCAACCTTTCTAATGCCGCGACCCTATAATACAGTTCCCCATATTGTGGTGACCCCCAACCACTTATACATCACCGTGTGCCAGGGCCGTGGCCAAAGAAAAGGGGAAAAATGGCGGACAGCCTTGTTTGGCGACCCCCGTGAAATGGTCGTTCGACCCCAAATGGGGTCCCGACCCACAGGTTGAGAACCACTGGGCTAGATGAACTCATTCATCTTCCTGCAGGCACTATGATATTTAAAACTGAATTAAGTACATGTTTATGAATGAAAAAAATATCCTTCTCATATTTCATAAATCAACATTGAAATAGTGCAGATAAAAGAATGGCCCAGAGGTGTCCATAGATAGCACTTAATACAGCTGCCCAAACCTCTTAAATCACGGGAAACATGAAACACCCAACTCATTGAAATAATGTTGATTTAGTTGTATTTATTTAGTTGTATTTATTCATTGATTTATGGCAGGAAAGAAAAACAGAGGAAAATACCTTGGATTAATCTCTAGTGGGCAAAGTGTTAAAGGATAAAATATTCTGCATACCGATAGTGGTTTGGAAGTAAATGTTTCAGTTTCTCTTGCATAATTTTAAGTTTTTAATCTCTTTCAGCTGTCCATGCAAAAAGCCTAGTTGCAATATTGCATCTTTTAGTTGCATTGTCGCAGTATTTTCGGGCCCCAATCAGACTGCCAGATCACGTGTCTATTCAGGTTGTGGTTGTCCAGGTATGAATGAATGTATTCCGCATTTCTGTACACTTTTGAAACTAGAGAAAGTATAAGAAAGTAGATATGTTTTGGGTTCATCTTTCTTCAGTGAGAAAAACAGTCAAAAGCACAGTATTTCTTTTTCAGAGCTAAGTGTACTGTTGTCATTACTGATAGCATAGCAGCGGAACGGTAACATTAATATAGTAAAGGTTAAATCAGATTTTGGCAAAGTGTAACTCTGAAGTTGTCATGCAAGAGTCCTAAAGTTAATATTTTTCACCTTTCTGGTTTGTCTTGCTCCATGTTGTCACGTTCTACTGGGACTACACAAATCTTCTGAACGAATATGCACACAAATTAAATTTTCAAACCATGAAAGAGTCAGCTCTGCCAATTTCCAGGCTTACATTGCTGCTTCGGAAGCTGTTCCCAGCTCTTCCTACATACATGTGCACGTGCATTTTGCTTTACTGAGGGAAATGTGAAGCAAAGTGGCAACTGGTGCACACACATGTGGAAAGATTTGGAAGCAGCTTGTAAAGCCAGGAAACAGAGGCGGCTGCTTTTCAATTTAAAAAGAGATGCTTTGTACATACTCCCCTGGGTTCAAAGCATTTCCCTCAAAGGATTTGCACGGCTCTGCTTTCTACTTCAAATATTTGTATTTGCTCACTGAACACAAGTTTAATAAATGCCTCTTTTGATATTACATGTGCAACCTGGCAAATAATATAGATCTTCCCATCAGCTTGTGAATGCCTGCCAGTCGTATGACTTTTTAAAATTATTATTATTTTTACTGAACTTGCTTTTGTCAGTTCTTCAGAATTTTATCTGGAGAAAGAGCCTGGGAAAATTCTAGCTTCTGTGATAAATATTTCTAAGACCTGCTGTTTTCTGTCTCCTTAAAATAACAGGCAGAATAAGCTTATATTTCATATAAGTAACAATAGACCAATAAGATTGTGGCTTGTGGCTGTTTGGAAAACAAACACAACAATACCTGCTTGAAATTGGTTCTCTGGGTTTTATTCAGGTATTATTTCAGGTGGAGGGGGGAGAATACCTTTTGATTCTTGTACTTAAGGCTTAAAAAATCGAGAATACATCATCAAATGAGTAGGATAATATGCCATATTTGTAGAATAACACTAGGAGTAATAGAAATAGCTTCCATTATTATCTTAATGCCGTAGTGAATAATCACCCTACTTTGAAGTCCTTCCTTCCATAAAAGACAGGACAGTTTCGAAGCAATATGGAAGTAAATTGGAATTTCAGACCGAACCCTGGTGATGGGGAGATTCCTGCCTGCTGTCAGGATCCTGATTTTGTCATGCATGAATAATTCCCCAGACCACCATCTTTAATGTTAAATAAAATACAGTGCCCCCTTGCTTGATGTTTGGGGTAGGGGGGAAATCTCCTCAAATATTTCATTTTCTTCAAATCACAACTCAAGCATGAATTTTAATTACAGCAAGGATAATCTAAGATGAACAATTTCCACTTTATTGCAAGGCTACATTAACAGAATCTTGCAAATCTGAAAGTATTAACTTCCCACTGCCATTTTGACCATCTGACCATTTAGGGCAGGTCCTCCTAAATTTCTTTCTCTGACAGTTAAGTGACTGCAGCTTCCTCTCTTTCTTTTCTGATTGGTTCCCTAGACATCATGTCTTTCCCTTGCCTCAAAGGCCATCTTAATAAACTATTGTAGTACCTTGGCTTTTGACTGTTTCCTTTTAGAAGCTGCGCATGTATTCAGATTAGTTCAGTCAGCCTTAGAATTTCTCTTATTTAGATATTTAACTGGCTTTTCTTCTGAATTTTGCTTCTAAAGAATCTCCCTTTTTGCCACTGGCATCCTTACAAGGGTAGGGCAGAGTTTTCCAGTCTTAGCAACTTGCAGAGTTGTGGCATACAGCTCCAGAACTCTTGGCAATGAACCCTCTTGTGAATTGAAATGCACAGATCTGGAAAATGCCACTGTTGGGAATAAGTGAAGCTTCTTGTCCATTTCCACAAGATCTGAACTGTACCTTCCAGGAAAACAATTGCAGAATAGAATGTCTGTGGGAGGTGGTTGTTCTTATTTCAAAACTAAATCAAAATGAAATCAAGTATTCCTATTTTCATGCCAATTTCCAATTATTATTTTGACATCTATTTGGAAATGCTTATTTTTACAGAAAGCATCTTAGAAATTCCAGGTTTTGAGGGAAAAAAATAAAACTATTTAAACATGAATGTTTATGTAGAATTTTTTGTAATAAAAAGCATTTATTAATGTGGAAATGGAGAAGAGTTCTGAATGCGTTCACAATAAAGTGACCAGGTAAAAATAGCTGTCTATCCCTATTTTCCCTGAGGTTAAAATATAAGTTTCTATCTAGTCTCTTTTTGGCCCATCTTGTATCTTGGGTCTTCTGCTGCCTTCTGTTTCTAATTTACAATGTCTGATCTCCCCTTAGAATGGGAATAACAGTAACATGAATATACAGCCATAAGAAATGCTTACCATTAACTTATAAAAATTCCTGTTCAGCTGCCCTTATATACATGAGTCAAGGTTCATACAGGAAGACTCCCATCTTAGAATGAATAGTTAATAAAAGTATAAATAAGGAAAGAAAATAAATATAGTCTATTCTATGGCTAATTGTTGCTATTTTTTCCAGAAGCGAGAAGGAATCCTCCAGTCCCGACAGATCCAAGAGGAAATAACTGGCAACACTGAGTAAGTCAAGTCAAGGTGAAGATGTGCCAGCTTTACCAAATCTTGCTGATAGATTACGGGTTCCACTAATGGAAATTTCAAACAGGCTTCACTCCAAATAATGCAGAATAGAAATAATGTAAAGATGTGGACATGTTCCCAATGTAGGAAGCTTTAAGTTCAAGTAATTGTTTAGACAAGAAGGTGGTTTTCCCGTATATGTTTTGAGGAGTTTTTGTGAGTGCCCACCTAGAGAGAGAGGTCCAATTAGGTAAGGGCTTTCTTAGTTGGTGGCACCAGATTTATGGATCTCCTACTCCTTGGTCATTTCGTGGCTTGCTTTAATGGTATTTTCTGCTTTGAATGCAATTAGCCAGGTGCATATTTATTTTGCTTTGTCTATTTCTGCATTGAACAAAATGTATTAAATGACTAAGAGTACTCATACAAATAATTGCATTATTCCTTTTCTATAGGGCAATGTCAGGACGGCATGGTAAGCATGAATTGATTTTCAACATTATTTAGATGTTTGTAAATTATTACCCCACTAATAATTATATAATTCAAAGTCAACTAGTTCACATTCTGATTTTTCTTAATTGAACTGTAAATATGCAGTGTATTTCTTCCAAAGAAGAATACTTTCTTAATAATTAGAAATAATTACATTTCTTAAATCAATACTTCGTTATACTTTCTAATCTGCATGGCTGGAGAACAATAGATTTCAAAATATATCGACGTGAATGTGCATTTTGTAAATAAAGGCCAAAGATTAGTATTCCTTGTTAAATGTAAATGGCAGTTGATGACCTTCTGGTTTTTTGAATTCTTAATGTTTCAGTAATGTAGCATTTATACAGGTTGTTCTCGTCAATTCTATTTCAGAACGAGATGCATTTGACACACTGTTTGACCATGCCCCAGACAAACTCAATGTTGTGAAAAAGGTGAGGCAAAAAGGGTTTTGATATGTGCCATTTAACTGTCTTAGAAACTCAATGAATGTAATTAGGACTAAACTGTGGTGTTGCCAAGACATTTCACATGTTAATATTTGTTGTATGCTTTTAATTGCAGCATTTCATCTAGGTGTAGAGCAAAGTAGTGTACTTTTCAAGTTCCTCAGCTTATATTTTTTATGATGCACCCAGTAGGCCCAAATATGGAAAGAAGAAATACAGGAACCCTCCCACTTCCTCAATATTCATATTTTGAGTAAATCCCAGATAGAGGCAGTATTTTGTGAACATATCATCTCATTGGATTCTATCCATGTAGCATCTAATTCCAAATTATTTGGGCTACAAAATATCTTTCAAAAATGTATAGAGAAGTTTTTCTGACCAAGCACTCTGCAAAAGGGAGTGGGTAACTACTATCTAGTAAGGCTGCTAGATAGCAATCCACAGATGCATTAAGGGTGGAAAGTATTGACACTTCTCCAATCTTATTGCTACCATATAGAACTAAATCTGGATGCATCTTGTAATAACCCTTATTTTCTACGAGGATCATTACACAATGATGGTTCATGATTAACCAAAGAGCTTCTCTAGTTCTAAATGAAATTCTTTCAAATTACAGCAGTTGAAATAATCTCTGCATTTTGTAGTAGTCAATTGACTAAGTACCTAATTGAACTGCTCTCCAAACCTTTGAGAAAATTCACAGCAACTGCTGTTGCTCCATTAGTATCCATACCGTGTCTGTGGCTGACCATCTTAATCCATGGTGCCAACCTCTTGCCTCCCATCATATCTCCCTCTATATAAGTACTTCAGTTCTCTTTGCTTTCTGGCTTCTTATTGGTCCTTCTGAATCTGCACTGGAGGAACTGTATAGAAAATAGCCATATGAAAGAGCCCCTTACTGAAATCTGAGATGTTTTACTAGTTTCCCCCTCTGCTTAAAATAAATATTTCATAATATAAATGCAAATGCTTTTCTGTACATTATTTCTAGTGAGAAGTGATATAGAAAAGGAGTGAAATGCCGAAATTGCCATTTCACACATTTGTATTATATGATCTCCAGTTGATCTAGATAATCATAGCTTCCTTGAAGAGAAAACAGTGGCATTCCATTTTACAACAGCTTATTTGTGGCTCAGATGTTATTTTCTTTTCTCAGTTATCCTAGCCTGTGACTTGGTGGTTAAATCACTGCCTAGTATGTAAACTGCCCAGGTTCGAATCCCATAAAGGGTGTGGTTAACTGATGAGAGCAGAATGAGCTCGAAATGGCCATATTAGTTTCCCAACTTAATTCTTTAACTCTTTGTCAAGAAAAAAAAATCTGTATATATATATATGTTGATAAATATTTCTCAGAATATATAGTCATTCTTTATTTTGGGGTTTTTTGGGGGGGGGATGGAGTTTCATAGCATTTTCCTCTTTCTCAAAACCCAGCAAATAAGCAAATTTACTAAAAGCTAAATTATTTTAAAGCTCAGATTAGCATTTGCATGTTTTACTGAATGTTTTTAAAAACTTCAAAGTTTATATATGTTTTTAATTTCTAGACTCTCATTACTTTTGTGAATAAGCACCTCAATAAGCTGAATCTGGAAGTTACAGAACTAGAAACTCAGGTAGGATTATACAGATGTATTTAGAAGAGTAGAATTGTTTCTTAACATTATTCCAATGTGTACCATTTAATCAATGAAGGCAAAAATGTATTGGAGGATTATCTTTTATTTTTCTTGTCCATACCTCACTCTATTACAGTTATATCATGAGAAAGGATACAATCAAATTGGGCTCTTGTTGGTTAAAAACAAAACAATGACATGTTACATAATAGAATGACTAAAACATTTGTGTGATAAAAATAGATTAAATGAAAGCTAAGCCATCCATATAAAAAAGTCAAGAAACTTGTGATATGTTTGCTGGCTAAATCAGGGGTCCCCAACCTCCGGGCCGTGGCCCATTAGCAGGCTGTGGCCTATTTGGAACTGGGGTGTGCAAGTTGTATGCTGGTGCATGTATGCATGCGCAGCTCAATTTGTGCAAGTTGAGCTGTGTGTGCATGCGCTTGTGCATTGACCTGCTTGCACAAGTCGAGCTGCACAGATGTATGGCTACCCGCTGCTTGTGTGGTCTGGTTCCCGTCCCCCCCCCCCAGCCAGGCCACTAAGCCACAAAGGTTGGGGACCGGTGGGCTAGATGACAGAATCCATCTGACTAAGTATGGAACAGCTAAACTAGAACCCTTTGGTTTTATATAGCAATAATGGACTGGGCTGTTTGATCCTCCAGGATCTATGGACATTCCAGGAGAAAATATGTCATGATGTGTGTTTGTATTCATATTCCATAATATAGAATACCTTCTTTTTCTTCACTCTATCAAAAGCAAATTTCATAGGATCACAAGGATCTTATTTTGTTTGCATTTGCTTGAAAATCCATTGAATGTACACTTGATTTCTCCATAAAACAAAAAAAGTAAATAATGTTTAAAAAGTTTCCATGGAAAAGAAAATGCCAATTTTTAACCAAAGCAAATTTTTCATGAATCCATGATGCCTAAATAGAGAGTATTATAGAGCTAATGTGCACTCAATAAGTTTTTTTTATGCCCTGCCCCTCTTCTTGAATACCCCAGTGAAAAGCCCAGCAGCCATATTCTGCTTTGCACAGTGTTTCATTCTCTTCTTTGACCCCCCCCCCCCAAGTTTTTTCCATGAAACCATCTGCATGAAGGCTGGTGATAGGAAGGAAGTCTTGGCTGGAATTGCATTCCTTTTTCTGTAGAATATAAAGAAATTTGTATACATGTAGTAGGAGGAAAAAAATAAGATACTGAGGAGGATTACAATATTGCAGTATTCAATGGAAAAAGAATAATGGGGTGTGTTTTTTGTTTTGTTTTAGTGGCTTATAAGTCACATTGTTTATCCAGTTGTCATTTTCTGACTCAAAATCTACTGGAAATCCCCCAAAATATGCTATTGAAACTGGTATTCACTGAATGCAGAGATGGATTGCGTTGCCAGAGGCTACGGGTCAATAACATCTGAAAGGCAGTATTTCAAATAATGGGGATTTAAAATGAAAAGATTTGTGGCAAAGGAATGAAATAATTAGGGTCTGACTAAAGGAGGTTAAACTACTGATCGTAAGCATTAGGAATAGTTAGATAATGCTAAGATGAAAATGACTGTGCTAATATAACACATAGTTTGAGCATTACCCTGAACCCCGGTTTATTATGTGATCCAAACAAATTCATTGTATGCTAACATACAACAGGTTTTTTTTTCTATTTCTGCTCCTTTTTAAATTAAAGGAAAGAGCCTCCTAATCTGCTCTTTCATGAAATATAGAAAAAATAATACATGTATTTTAAAAAAAAAATCCCTTGACTTTTGAATAGCAGTGAATTTGGTTTATAGTGAAAAATGGAGCTTCACAGTAATGTTATTTTTCACATTTCAGGAAGTTTTAAATAGTTATAAACTATATTATGTCCACAGAATCCATGTGGATAGCCCAAAAGCCTTATTACATTGCTAATTTTTGTAGCAATGAACTCAAAGTGAAGATTTGTCTTTTAATATTTGAATAGACTTTGGACAAGATAGCCATTTTAGACTTTAAAAATACATGCAGAATAATATTTATTTTTTTATTTTGTTAAATTTGTGTGCCACCCATCTTGTCTAGAGGCGGGAAGATGGTATTTTCATCCAAACTGACAGCAAAATTCTCTTACAGGAAGAGAATGGGAAGTTTTAAGAATCTTCTACTCTGTGTGAACACAGCATAAATTCATGAGTTGATTGAAATGAGAAGCAATGCTGTAATTCAAATATTATTTGTATTTGTTCAAATACAAGTACATACTGTGTTATAGTTTACATCCATTTTAAAATAATTTCTAGGATGGTAATTGCTGTCAAGGTCTTAGAATAACTATTTTATTTTTATTTATTTAATTTTATTCTTATATGCCCAATGCTTTCTTATAATTCATATTCAATTTGATCTACATTTGCCCGTAATCTTCAGTGAAAGTCTCATGAAAACATTTTTCTCACATTGTATGTGTCATAGTTCCAGCATTGGAAAAAATAGCAAATCTTTCCCCTTATTCTCTAACATGGAAAGACCTTAATAAGGAGGACAACTGATGAGATAATGTTACCTTTAAATTTCAACATTTTCACTTATGCAAACTAAAACCATGAAAAATAAATTGGATTATCAATGAGATTTTTTTATCATTTTGGTAAAATGTTTCTTAGGCAATCAGGATGGGGAACATTTTTTTTATTTTGAAGTTGATACTTCATATATATTCTCCTTTAAAAGCTGAAAGGAATGTTTTCCAGGTTTGAAGCAATATAAGTGGGTTAGATATGAAAATTTGTATTATATTTTGAGAGCTTTAAGAAGGAGATTGATTGCATCATGAAGGCTTAATGCCTTTATTTTCATCTTTAATTTTGGTGGGAGAAAAGAAATAGATTACACTGCCAAATGGGAACCATGAAATTACTAGCCCTGGATTAGATTGTGCAGCAAAACAGGTAGAAATAGCCATTAAGGATAAATGCTTATTTAGACCTCAAGAGAGTTGGTATAGTTGTTAAGACAGCAGGCTAGAAACCAGGAAAGTGTAAGTTTATTATTTATTTATTTGTGTATTTTTTAATCAAATTTATATCTCATCCCATCTCCACAAAGGCAACTCTGAGTGGCAAACAACAATCAGATAATAATCAGAGTTCTGGTTCCACGAAAGCCAGCTGCATGACTTTGGGCCAGTCACAGTTTTTCAGTTTTTCTGCTGTCAGAAAAATATGAGGGGGAAGGAATATTAGATATGTTTGCCACCTTGAGTTATTTATAAAAATTTATAAAAATGATAAAGGTGAGATAAAAACAGTCTAAAACTTGTTAGCAAAACTGCAGTGACTTGTCTTGTGTACTAAAATGCTTTAGTAGGTAGAATTGCTCTTTGCCAGCAAACGGTAGCACTTGGTAATGGATCTAGACTGATCTAGAAAGCAGGAGTGTTCCTGCTTACTATTTTTAAAAGAGGTCTCCTGGGAGATCCAGGGCTAGTGACTAAATTGGCAAATTAAAACAAAAACGAAAAAAGATGATGACAAAACCATTTTTCATATCAAGCCAAGAGAATTGTATGGATGTGTCTGCAGAAGTCATTTGAAATCAAATTCAGCTCAAAGGAAGCAATTTTTTAAAATCTTTTCCTAGAGATGCCACATATATTAATACTTTTTATGTAACATGTGGACAACAGAAACTTGATTCGCTTGAAGTCATGTAGATCAGATATTTATAGAATATCATTGATCTTCCCTTGGTCAGGTATCTCAGTTGCTCTGAACCATTTATAAGCACCTGAGTCCTACCATTCTTAATGAAAGGAACTATTTATGCTTACAAAACTTTAAAATCAAGCAATTACTTTTTTATCATGTCAAAGAGCGATCTTTATAAGATTAGATCTAAAAAAAAGTGTTATTTTTAAAAGTTTGCAGATGGTGTATATCTGGTGCTCCTGATGGGTCTTCTTGAAGGTTATTTTGTGCCTCTTCACAGCTTCTTCCTAACTCCTGACAGTTTTGAACAAAAGGTAAACTTTTATGTATTTAAAGAAGAATTAATTTGACTATATGTTTATACTGGTCGTCATCCTAAAAGAATTCATAGCCCTGCACAAAAAAAAAACCTCAATAACACTTGATTTAAATAAAGATTAAATAAATGTCACACTTCTGTTTTTAATGTATTATTCTGCTTCATTGTGTTACGTACTATCGGTAAACAAGTCTAGAATTGTAATTGCTTTCTCTTAATTAACCCATCAGGTACTCAATGTCTCATTTGCATTTGAGTTAATGCAAGATGGAGGGCTGGAAAAACCAAAACCAAGGCCAGAAGGTATTTGTTGAATGTCTTGAGGATATATTTCATTGGTAAAGCTACCTAAAAATGTAGGGAATGTTTCGTAGGAAATAAATGCCTATTTTCATTTGATAATTTCCTAATTATGAGGATTAATTTATTTTCCACTGCTATTTGTTATGGTCTTAGAAACTCAAACATATGAAATTCTAACATCTTCAGTAGATATACATCTTAAAGTTTCTTTTTTTAGTCCAGAGGAAATTTGATAATTTCTTTTGAATAGCTTTGATGATTTACAGAAGCAGTATTAATGATCTTCTTTCTGTATATAGAGATTTTATAAGATTGGAAAAGGACATTTACTTATCGTAATGCTACCATAATCATAAGATTTCCCATCAAAGTAACAGATACAGGTAGTCCTCAACTTACAATTGATTGCTTAGCAACCATTCAAAGTTCCAACGGACCTATCTGGGGTCTAATCCATATTCCATGTTCTGATGATCCCATGACGACCTTCAGGTGCTTGGCAAACAGGCCCCATTTGTGGCCATTTGCAGCATGCTGCAATTAGATGACCATGTTTTATGACTGTTTTGCCAAAAGAAGCAATTATTTCTGTTTTTTAGTAAAATTGGCACCAAAGGGTTGATTCATTTAACAACTGTGGCATTTGCCTAACAACAGCAGCAATCACTTAATGACTTCACAACAAAGGTCATAAAATTGGGTTAGTCACATGACCAATTTGAGAACGACCTGTGCACTCAGAATATAGGTGGTTGAAATAATTGAAATAAATCAAGAGCTCGATTTATGAATTTGATGCCAAACAGATAGGTGGCAAAGATAACTCCTGAAATCAGGGGGTATTTTTTTTGGGGGGGGGGGCTGTTCTCATCCTTGTGCATCTCTCTAATATGAAATCACAATCAGAGTTGTGGGGTTCTATGAAGTTCAACATCAACTCAGATTAGGATTTAGTTTAGTGACTTTGTGATAGCCATGGAAATGTTACAATTTGTCAGCAAGTCCGGACATAGAGTAGAGCACATCCTAAATAAACTATTTCCCATCTAAACATGGCTGTTGGTAGAAGAGGGGCAAGAAGGGACAAGTGACAAAATGTGCATCACTTACATTAATCTATTCGCTCTAGTTTTTTGTCTTAGGTATAACTTTCAATAATTAATTCCATTTTCTCTGGCAAATACCTGTCATCTAGGGTTTGATATTTTAATATAGTACTCTTCACCGTAAATGTGGAACAACCTGCCTCCAGAAGCTGTGAATGCTCCTACACTGGAAGTTTTTAAGAAGAGACTGGACAGCCATTTGTCTGAAATGGTTATAGGGTTTCCTGTCTGAGTAGGGGGTTGGACTAGAAGACTTCCAAGGATTGGATTATTTAAAATGCCCTAAATCAACAAGTAATAGAAGAGCTGTCAGTTAACATTAGTAGGAGCTACTTTGTATTATCTATCTACATATGGAGTCAAATTTTACCTTGTGGCATCAGTCCAACTGAGTGAAGTTAAAGTGGGAATTATAGAGTTAGGCTGAAAATAGAGAAATATTATGATTACCTATCCCTTATGGCCCATTAATGTTATTACAGCATTTCAGTTTTTCAGGTATTGATTGCTTAGAGAAATGGTTAATTTTTTTTTCTCTTGTATAAATCAAACCATGCAGACATTTCAGCATTCATGTACAATTATTGACATGCTTAATATGAAACTTCCTGCTCAATATGAATGGAAAAACACATCTGTTTTATATGTTGTTACATCTGGACATAATGTCCATGCTTAGATTTTCTAGCAAGTACCCGGTATAGAAAAGCATTTTAATAATCACAATGTGAACATCAAATAGCTTTTAAATTCCTCCCTGAATGTTTTTCTAAATGAAAAATAGTTAGAAACAAGAACAGAATAAGAAATTAGTTGTCAGATCTTTTATCTTTAAATAGAATGGGCAGCTTTGTTACCAATGAAATAAAATGTTCCTCTCCCAGCTTTCAAGAAGCTTTACCGCATCTTAAAGAGAAAAATTCTGTAACGTTCAGCATAAGAGTATTTGCCTGGGTTCTTTTTTTTTTTTCTGAGTGTTGTGTAAAAATCATTTATTTTTACTGTCACTCAATATCTAGCAATATCTTTCCTCAAAGCTGTAATATTGTCCTTTCTACCAAGAATGACTGACAGAAACAGAACCCTTAGCCTTTTTGGACTGGTGGGACATTTAAGAGTATGTTGGCCATTCTTATAAAATGTTTGCAGCAGGAGGGTTGCCCTTCAAAGTTGAAATTGTGGCATAACCAGTTACAAAGCGAATGTGTGTGAATATGTGTCTGTGTGTCCAAACTATTAAATGCCTACTCTGTGCTCCTACTTTGCCTTATAAATTCCTGGGAAACTGCTGCTTCACTTTAGTCCATTACAGACAAGTCCCCCTTCATGGGCACCAATTCTCACAGATAGGCATTGCACTGTTCTTCAGACATCCATTCCTCATTTTTATGAAGAAAAGAAGTATTCAGAGGGAGGGGAGGAGGAATGCTGAAGGGTTGCATTTTTGCTTTGGAGAAATTCATCCTACTATTTCTCCTTAAGAAAATGATGATTAACAGAAAAAGATACATCTGATAATGCAGAAAGCCTGACAGGCATAACAAATGATGGGGGGGAGGGCACACTGAAGTCTCCAGAAGCTGCATTTGGGATCTCATTGTCAAGATTTTGAAATAACCAATATTTAAATAACCTGGAGCTATAAAGGTCATTGTACAAACTACTTTAAACATGCCTTCCATGTATTTACAACTGACAGAATAAATCAAATGTTGTATTAATCTGTGTTCATTCTAAACACATAAGTGGTCTCAAAAACAATCACAGGCAGCAGATCCAATCTCATGTTCAGATCTTCTTAATATCTTAATATAGAATATATTTGTCAAAGAGAACACACAATAAATTAGAATCTTTCCCTGGTACTTGCCGTATGCACAGTGTGAATATGTTGTAGTGTGCATGGAGCCTAAAGAGAGAAAAGGTATAATTGTGTCTTCAGAATAGCATTTGTTTTTCATGCTTGCCCAACAAGTGTCTGGTGAAATTGGATTGCGAGTTCCAGAATCCTCAACTAGCCCTGGTCCATTTCTGGGAATTTTGGAAGTGGTCATCCCACTCATCATGAGGCTATAAGGCTGGAGTAAACTGGGCCAGACCAAAACCAAAAATAAAGTAAATCCAGGTGCTATCCTTGAGGAGCCTGGTGGCGCAGTGGTTAAAGTGCAGCATTACAAGCAAACTCTGCCAACAGCCTGGAGTTTGATCCTGTCGGGGCTCGAGGTTAACTCAGCCTTCCATCCTTCTGAGGTCGCTAAAATGACCCAGATTGTGGGGGGCAATATGCAAATAATGCTTCTGCATTGTAAACCACCAAGAAAGCGCTGTAAAGCATGGGCAGTATATAAGCCTAAATACTATTGTTATCCCACTCAAAATATCCAATTTTAAGTTTCCCTTGTTTGGTTTCTGATACATATTCAATCTTGAGTACTATAATTAGAATTATTATTGAATTTTTGTTTAAGTGTTTTAAATACCTCTTGTTCTTGAGCAGCAAATCCAATTGAATTTAGTCTATCTCAGAAACCTAAACTTGGGCAGACCTAGTTAGTCCTTGCTTGGGAGATCAATAATTCATCCCAGAGCTGTGGGTGAGACTAGCACTGTGAGACATCATCTAGGAAGAATGTAAACTATCTCTGTAGTTAGTTGCCAAAAGACTTACACTGAAGGAAGCTCTGAGATTTGCGGAGTCAGTGCTGCAAATTTGGATTCAAGGCCACTTGCTACTCTTTTTAGAAATTCCATGTTCACTATTGACATTCAGAATCAAATGATTATTCACTGAGATATGATAAGGCTTTTGAGACAAATTGTATAGTGACAGGACTGACTCACATTCAGCATACATCTCAGCCTCAGTGGGCAAACCAAGGATGGCAGGTTGGAATTAGGCCCCACCCACAGTTCTCCAGACCCACTGCCAGGAACAACTAGCTCCATATGTACTTCAGTCTGAGGATTTTTCAAAGCAGCCTTTGGTGGCAACCTGCTCTCCAGTTCACAGCTCTGAGAAATTCTTAATAAGAAGTAACGAATTTGGTGGTCATTCCAGAGAGCCATGTCAGGCCAAAACCTCACATTGGAAGCTCAAAGAGTAAAATATCAAGCCTGGCAGATACTCCAGAGCAGGGATCTTCAACTTGGCAACTTTAAGACTTGTGGACTTCGATTCCCAGAATTCCTCAATCAGCCCTGGCTGGCTGAGGAATTCTGGGAGTTGAAGTCCACAAGTCTTAAAGTTGCCAAGTTTGAAGACCCCTGCTCTAGAGGGCCCTGACAATGCCTTTTTTTGCTATAGCAGCAAGAAAATGAATGACATGGCAAGTTTAAACGACTTGTTTTGGTCAGTGGATGGTGGCAGACCAGCAAGTACAGTTTCCTCATTTTAGTCCAAAAGTCCTCACAGGCCATGCAGAAGCTTGAGAAATGTTTTGGTTTCTAGGTTTTTCAGCTTCAGCTCTACTAACAAAATCAGAGCTACAGAACAACTTGACCAACTGAGTCTAGTAACGTCTTTCTGAACCATTTGTTTTAGTCTGCCAAGTGCCTGATCATCCCATATGTTTGCGATCCCATGTGAGCTGAAAACCAGAAGGTCTATTGCCTACTTAGTGAGCCATGATTAGATAGTGGGTGGGTTGTGCTTGGTTTCATGGGTCCAAAGCTGCATGGGCCTATACACTTGTCACTTGTGGCCAGCTTTTATTATAACCTGTAAGTTGGCTGCTAAACTCTATTAAAATCAAACAGCTTTCAGTAGTCTTACTACATAGAAATACCACAGTCTTGGCCTATAAATGCGAATGTGTGATTATGTTTTTTTCCCAGTATGGGCTTTTTAATTTGTTCATTGTGATTTCAGGTTATTTAAAAAGCTCACCTTTCTTTCCCTCCCCCACTTCTTCTTTATAGACATTGTCAACTGTGACTTGAAGTCAACGCTGAGAGTGCTTTACAATCTGTTCACCAAATACAGAAACTTGGAATGAAGAAAAAGCACATCAGGAAGCCACGGGTGGCAAAATTGGAACCAAACAAAAAAGCTCGCCTTTCTTTGCTGTCATTCTCAATTTACACTACACTTTCTTCAAAAGAAAGGGCACTGCTTCTTGGAATGTTCTCTGTTATTAAATTTCAATATTTTTATTAGGACAATTTGAATTCAGAAATATTAGAAAGTGAAATCTGCTGGAAGGTAATAGGTTTGATTGGGAAAAAGCAGGTTGCTATGTGAATTAACTCTTGGTTTTAACTGCCTTTTAGTTTCTTAGAGAATAAGCACCAGGCACAAATCCTGATCCACAACCAAGCTAAGCTAAATTACTGCCAAACAAGAAATAAGAATCTGCTCCAATGAGCTATTTGGAAGGAAACCTCATGCACACTGTTTTTATATATCTGAGGAGGATCCGTTTCCTTGTGCAAGACACTGTTTCATTTGCCCAAACTTCTCTAATGCTTCTCCCTTTTGTCATGGGGTTCCTCCCTGCCACACTAAGGACATAATTGGAGACCCAGACTTTGACTGCATTGGGCTTTTTTCATCAGTACTGGAGCTGAAACAGAGTTCTAGTCTATACTGTTTTTCCCTTATAGTCACAGAGGTCATGACTGATAGGAACAATATCCCCCTTACTTATAGCAGCACCCAAAAACTTTTAGCATTCGTGCCACAAATTGCTCTTTAAGGTATAGATGGTCCATGGAATGATGTAAGTTGAAATTTGCCAGTTTAATTAAGTTATGGGTTCTACTACATATTCTCTCCTCCCTCCCCTCTTTCTGCATGTTGAATGTTTATTTGGGGCAAATGATCCATTTTATTTATGATTCAAAGGACATGAGAAAGGGAAGGAGGGAGCGGAAAGAAGAGGGAGAGAGAGACCATGTATATAATTTGATGATGCAAATAAAACAACTTGTGTCACTATATGGGGCCAACCTTTTGTTCCCATTATATACATTCCACATATTTTTTTTCATTCCTATAAAGTCTGCATGAATATATGCAATTGTGCACTTAAAATAATATACACTATAGTATCTTTGGTAGTAAAATAATCTTGTTTACTTGCAAAGACTGAGGTACGAAATATGCACATACTTTAAAAGTGTGGAAAATATACAGCAAGAAAGTCAATACGGTGCCATAAAAGTTTGGAAATATAGTGTGGGTTTGTTCTGTCAGGGTACTGAAAGAAAATAAAAATAAGCTTTGTTTACTTAATGATAATGAAAAGGAAAGAATATAATTGATAACAGTAAGATAGATTTAAAGAAATACAAAAGAAATAACAAAAACACAGAAAGAGAAGTGTTTATGTTTAACTTGTTTTCTGAATACCTCAGATGAATGAGAAATTCTAAACATTTACAGAAAACCAGACAATGCTGTACTGTTGGTTTTGAGCAACAGAACTAGCTTGCATACAGAAAAGTATAAATTTTTAGTATAATATATTTTTATTCAACTTGATTTACACTTATTTTTTATTGAAATTTTAGAGCAGTTTAAAAATGTATTCTCTATGGAAACTGATAAACTTAAATGTAAAATAATAGTCTCTACCTATTTTATAAAGTTAGATTCTGATTTTAAATAAATCTTTCATTTAGTGTCTTTAGGTATTGCACAGTAACTTTGCTTTTGTAGTTGGAAGAAAACTGTTCACGTGATAATAAGGTCATCATGCCTTTTGTCTTCTAGAAGTTGAGACAGTGCTATAAGTATTCAATGGCCCAGATCCAATTTCATCCAAAACTTCACTGTAGTAAATTTGGCATGAAGTATTTTATAGGGCAGTGATGGCAAATCTTTTAGAGACCCAGTGCCCAAACTGCAACCCAAAACCCACTCATTTATCATTGGGTGCTGAGTGGGTGTGGCCACGATGGTCATGGCAGATTGGGTGGGAGGGGCCATGGTGGCAGGGGCCAGTCCCTCGCCATCTCCACGTGCCATAGGTTCGCCACCACTGTTATAGGGTTTGTATATTGCTCAAATTACTATAAGAATTGTTTATGAGGGGTTACGTGCCCAAGTAAAACCTTTGTTCATATATTCAAATGTGATTTATTACATGCCATTATTCCTTGTATGAGGATTGTGATATAGATGATATATAAAATATGTCTAAATTATTTTATGATATGTTCAAGGGGACTAGTTCTCTGTGAATTCTTGATCCTTGAACTTTGCCCATTGTCAGCAGACAGGTTACGTTTAAGGTTCAGAGATATTGAGTAGACCCTAGCTCAGAAAGTGACTTTTTTCTAAAATTCTTTTGGATGTTGGATTCTGGATTTATGTTCAGTTTTATTCCATCTCCTTGAACAGCAACATATTTTGCCATGTGCAGAAGCTCCAGGGAAAAGCTGGATGCTGACTGCTTACATTGCAAAATCAAAGTTAACGTTGTGACAGGGAAAGATTGGAATAGTTGATGATTGCCAAGAAGAGCAACAATTCCTCATCAGGACATTACTTATGCTAAGTAAGGGGGAAGGGAAAGTTACATCATGCCAACCATTTATGATCCTTTTTTCGAAAAAGAGAAAAAAGCACAACATTGATAAGCTTGAACTCTTGTGGCCAATCTAGCCAATTTACATAAAATGTAAACAAGCAATTGTTTTTAAATGCAATTTTCTTACAATAGGGTAACATATCCAATGTAAAGGTGAAACAATAAGCATCCCTTGTTATTATCGGATGCAACTTAACTGTTTAATTTTATAAATAAAGTTTGTGTTTTTTCCACTAAAGGAACAAATTCTTGAAAAATGTTTAACTAGTCAACAAAAAGTAAAGCAAGCAAAACTGTACCAAAAAAAAAAAGTATCTTTCCATTTCTAATCAGGTTAGGTAGAAACCAGTAGTTGATGTGTGTATATGTGGAAACAGTATTATATTGTAATTTGAGTTTCTAAGTGAAAGCAGAGTTGCAGCAGCTTAATCTACATATATGTTAGATTAAGAAAGTGAAGTGGAATTTAACCCCCTCCATTCGTGTACAGTTCTTTGTTTTTCCAGATATATTTTTGAAGAGGTTTTGTCAATTGTATCTCTGAAAGGAGAATACATAGCACAAACACACTTTTTTATCAGGCAAGAGTTATGTTTTCCTCTTGATTCAGGATGACAGGATAGATTTATAGCTCTGTGTTCTTGGCAAACAGCCCCTGTGATATGGGAGGGAGGAAGCCTATATATCCATAATATCCATGCTTGAACATTTTATTAATTGTGTTTTCTTATGAATTTGTCAAACCACAAAATGAAGTTTTGAAGTGCATTTTGATCAAAATTACAAGCTAGGTATTTGATCAACAAATGACTTGTGAATACTGAGTTGCTTCCATTTTCAAATCTATAAGTGGTTGACAATTGAAGGTGCTTCCTGTGATTTTGCAAAATGGGTGGATATATTTCTAGCAACATGTTTTAAGTGAAGAGCTATTTCTATATTATAAATATATATATATATATATATATATATATATATATATATATATATATATACTGCTCAAAAAAATAAAGGGAACACAAATGTATAGGATCCTATACGTTTGTGTTCCCTTTATTTTTTTGAGCAGTATATTATGAACATGCAATTGTTTGATAACATTCATACCCAAGCATTACATAGCTTGCATAAATTGAATCTTTCTTATATTTCTCATGGAGATATATCATCGCTATGAAGCTAATATGCAACAGAACCTATAGATTATATCTAATATTTATTGAATTTGAAAAAAATATAGGAAAATATACTGTTATACTAGCAGCTTCATTTCTGTATCAAATATAGATTTCAAATTTATTAAAATTCATGTTTACATAAATGCATAAATTTGCCATGTTTATCTGATAATTGAAGATATGTTTTATATGGAATCTGCCCCTCTGATAGTTGTTAAAGTTAAGGAAAGCTTTTGGGCCAACCCTACCTAACCTATGATGTCAATTATTTTTCTTGCTGTTCAGAGAAATAAATATATTAAAAATAGTGTACTTATATGAAGGAATAGCAGAGTTTCTGGATTTAGAAAACCACAGGCCTATCAGCTGATGGGAAGAAAGAGAAGATTAAATAAGAACCACTGCAGTATTGTAAATGGCCATGCACATTTTTTTTTTTTTGTTTGCAGCTTCTCTTTCCTACCTAGTGAACTCAATGCCTATGGGACCATGTCTAGCTTATGTGGACTCATCATTTATGAGGTACAGATTTTTTAACTGATGCCTCTGCACTGAAGGGGGATCCATGAATGCTGCAGTTTGCACATTCCTTTCACCTTGAAAATGTGATTGCTCTTTGGTGCTCTTTGAGCTTGCTTGTTTTCTTGCAGACATTTCATTACCCAAACTAAGTAACATAATCAGTGCTAGTAAGGAGTGCAGCTTGCTGTCAACTTTATATTCTGGTGGTTTGCCTGTCAGTGTTTGTGGCGGTGGTGACAGGCAAGCCACCGGACAAGCTGATAGAAAATAGCTATCAGTTTGGATAATGAAACATCTGCAAGAAAACAAGAAAGCTCAGAGACTACCAAGGACCCCTCATGTCAACCCTGTGCTACAAATATTCTCCTTTATTAATGTGATTGCTATTGTTCCACAGTTAATAATGGCCATGCATTTATTTACACACAGTATTGGGAAGATCAGAATTTAAATCCTAAAAATCTAGAGTTAAATTCGATGTGGTGTGAACAGGTCTCATCTCTCACTTTTGCTTTTGTGATGAACCCTTGAAATCTGCTGCAGTGGTTTCAGAATTTCTTTGGTGCAGATTCTCAGATTGTTTGGGGGTGAGAGGAATGTTTTCATCCAATGATAATGGAAGAGTCAAAGATCAGAGAAACACTCTGAAAGCGCCCTTGACACCCAAGGCTGAGAAATGAATGTCAAAAAGTCTGTTATTATGTAAGGGCAGAGGAAACTCAAGAACTGACTTAAATATAGCTAGATTCCTAGATTCTGCAGTAATTGATCTTCACTACAAGGGCTTCTTTGGCATTAAAGTCAGCTTATCTATTTGTGTCTTGTGCTTGAATCTGCTGCTATTTTCATTTATCTAAAGTTCATTATCTGAAATATATAAATTTTGTAAGCAGGTTCAGTCAGGCCCAGTACTGAGGCAACATTGATTGATCTTGTTGATGATCTCTAGTAGGTTTGGAATAGGATGGTACATCCATCCTGGCCCTCCTTAATCTCAGTAGCCTTCAATGCTATCTCCAGCTCAGGGGATTGGTAGTGAGAAGTACTGTATTACAGTGGTTCTCCTTTCACCAGGGCTGGTTCCAGTCAATGGCAAGAGGTGTAGAAGTTGAACCTGAGACTTCTGTTCTGTGGCAAGCCTCAGGATTCTTCTCTCCTCCCACTCCTGTTTAACATATACCTGAAGCCACTGGATGAGGTCATGCCAGTTTGAGGTTCATATCATCAGTATGCTAATGATATCTAATTATATCTTTCAACCTTAGGCCAACCAAATGATTTTGCTGTGATTCTTTCCCAGTAGCCTCTACCCAGTGTCTGAAGGCTGTGGGGATCTGGATGGGAGAAATAGGCTTTGGCTCACCCCTGGCAAAGCTAAGTGGTTATTGGATTTAAGTATCTCGCTCTGGAGATTTTCTGTCTTTAATTCTGCCTGGCAACGCATTTCTCCAGATGGAGCAGTTCAGAAAATTTGGGCTCAATTATAATTAGGGAGATGTTTTCACAGTTTTGTCTTTAGGAACAGTTATACCCATTCTTAGATCACAGTGACTCGTGCCTTAGTCACTTCCTACAACATGGGGAAGTGACTACATGGGGCTGCCCTTGAAGAATTTTCAGCAGCTGCAGCTGGTCTGGAATGCAGTGATGCAATTAGATTTGACGTTTCTTATTACACATGTATAACACTGCAGTGCAAGCTGCATTGGCTCTGAGAAGCATGTGTACCATTCTCGGTGCTTACTATCACCTATAAAGCTCTGCATTTGCTATCTGCAGGATGACTTCTTGTTTCTGCACACCCCACCAGATCTGACAGAGAGGATGGGCTCCAAGTCCCTTTCATCAAGCAGTGTCATCATTTTGGACCCGGGAGCCATGCCTTCCATGGTAGTGCTGTCCTGTAGAACAGCATCCCTGCAGAGGCCCAGATGGCTCCAACCCTGTTAGCTTTTTGTAAGGCACCGAAGACCAGGCTTTTCCCCCAGGCATTTGGGCTAGGTTAGGCAAGCTTTGCTGGTAATGCTGCTTTTATGACTTATTGTTTTAAGCTCAGGCGTCATGACTGTATTGTTTCAATTTTGTTCGCTGCCCAGAGTTACCATTGAGAGATGGGCAGCCATATAAATCATATAAATAAAAAATAAAAAAGTCAGATAGGCTAAAGAAACTGCCTGACAAGAATATTGTTCCAGTTTGAAAGCATTTCTGAACATCTGTGCTACTATAATCTTGGCTGGGCTTGAGAACTAAGCCAATTTATTTCTGGCTCAGCCAGAGTGTGTTTGAAACTGCTGTAAACCTAAAATTTTCTTTAAAATGCTACAGTTCTGTTAAGCTTCTGCAGAGCCTCAAACAACCTCCTTGAATAGCCTTTGCAGATCTTTTGAAGGGAAAGGTGACTTGATAGCTGTGCACCTCCCCCCTCAGAATATCCACTCAAGACTATTTTACAAGACGAATGCACCCAACCTGGGGAGGTTTATGTAAAGTCCATTTTATCATTTTATTGGAAAGAAAGCAAAAGTATTTTGTTCAAGAGCAGTGACTGTTCACTCTGCCTCAGCCTTGTACAGTTGGCAGAACCTGCTTTTCAGATTTGGAGATGAAAAATTGGGACAGTATGGAAATGCCCTAAATTAGCTCAGTTACAGGCTTGTGTATTTATCCTATTTTCCAACGATAATTTGCCAGTACTGTAAGTTCATCTTGTGATAGAGATAGAGAGATAGGTAGGTAGGTAGGTTTAAGTAGATATACATGAGAGAGTAAGGAACACACAAACACAATACACACATGCTGATGGGGATTTTAATACAGCAAGCTTATGAGCCTGATTTGCTAATAAATTATGGTTGCATAGATATTAAAAGACACTTCATCAGTGTAATTGATCTTTGACTATTTTTAAAACAGATCTTTTCATTGATGTTCCAAACTATTATTATTGATCCTTTTCAGTCTTTTATTTATTCATCACTAACCTGCTACATACCATAGCAAAAGGATGTTTGTATTTCACTACAGTACAGTAGCCAGAATGTTATATCTGTTTTGAAAACACATTATGGCAAATGTTGGTTGTTGTTTCCTTTGCTGTAGCTTCCTCATCAAAAGTGATTGTTAAAATTGTAAGAAATAAAATCACATCAATTTAACAAAGTCTCTTTCTGAATAGCAATATATAGGGTTTGTATTATAAAAACTTTAAACACCTATAACATGTAATAGATGTAATCGTGGGGTGTTTTTTCTAATGGACGGTCCTTCCCTGTTACAGATAAACTAGCATACCTAAATGCTTCCATTCTTTCAGAAGTCATCTAATGAGGCTGAGAGGTTAGAATCAGGAATTTGAAGCAAGTATGTAATATCCCCTCCTGTGCACTAGATGGGATATAATCAATAAGCATTGAACCCACTGAACTAAACTAGCAAGCACTGTGTGGTAACTGCTGCTAATGTGTACGTGTGCTAATTTAATACTCGTTTAAAGTCAATTACACATTGGCAAAATTCTTCTAACTCTAGATTTCAATACATTTTGAAATGTGTTTGATGTGGGGGAAAAATGGGCTGATGTTGGAAATACATTCAGTGAATAACCTGAG